AGAGAGAGAGAGAGAGAGAGAGAGAGAGAGAGAGAGAGAGAGAGAGAGAGAGAGAGAGAAATAGAAAAACTTTCTACCCCGTGGCTACCCGGTGTATAATTGGATGGCCCAGATGTGGGTGCTCAACACACAGAGAAACAGGCAACAGTTTCACAAAGTAGAATGTCCATTTCGTTAGCACACACACCACTGCAGACCAGCACTGATATTTTGTGTACACTGGTCATGCCCCTGGTAGAGCAATGTTAGAACCGGGGTGGGGAAGGAGCACTCTAAACATTATCAGTAGGAAAGAGGGAGAAAACGAGAGAGAGCTTCACACCCAGAGGTACCTGGTGATGCTTCTCAAGCGCACATTGAGATAGAAGAAGAGAAAGCCACAGTACATAGCAGGGGAAGTTCATTCTCCAACACCCTTCATTGCTGGGAGGTTGATTTTTATCATAAGCCAAAGCCATTGGCGAGCAATACTAAGCAATGTCATCTTGAGAGGCGACACGCGGTTAATGGAAGGCCCAAAATTCGGGGGTTTTCGCCACATCAATACAAGCAATGTCGTGGAAAATTTTGCGAACAAACTATGCAGGCTCATAATACAAACATCAAAAAACGAAACAGGCAAAAAAAAACTAAAAAAAAAAACTCAAAAGGACTATAAAACCCTATTCGGAGTAGCTTTCGGAGTTCGCAAATTTTTTTCCTGAATTCGGTGTTTTTGCCAACTTCTTCGTTACTCGTCCAAATACGCTGAAACTGAATACAGATATACCCTCAAGCACATACATATCAGACAAAAAAAAAAAAAAACAGAAAAAAGCAAAAATTCAGGGAAATATGGCAGTTTCGGTGAAAAATTCGCCGAAAATAGCACCACCCATTAACCACGAGTGTTCTTGTCTAATTTCTCTGCTCACATGTCCTCATCCTCTCTTCCTTCAACACGTCTTCATGTACTAGTTTTGTTATTGCAACGGCCTACATCCAGGGAAAGACTTGAATTTGCACTTTAGTTGATATCCGATGGGGTGAATTTGCACTTTTGTTGATATCCGATGGGGTTTCCATGCCAAGCTGAGTACCAACCCACAGTCGAAGGGAGTACACAGCTGATCCGCTGGCTGAACCAGGTATGGAGCAGGCTCTCTTCTCATCCCGCACGCAATCACTCTGTTTGTGCGCATGTTTGCGTACACTGACATGTATATACTGGCGATCTTGTCAGGTTGTTTTCAGACTGGCAAGGAGACAGATAGGATGGCCAAGTACCCACCTGCAGCTTTGGCACACGGGTTGCTCCTCCTATCACCTCAACTGCATGCAGATCCTGCGCCGAGAGGTTTGCGTCCTTGAGCACTTGCCTGGCAGGGACAAGAGCGCGCTCCCAGAGGTCCGCACAGAGTCCTTCAAACTTCTCCCTTGTAATGGACGTTCTGCACAACCAGAACCCACCTCCAACCCATGAGCATCCTCTGCATTATTCTGCCAGTGAGACTCTACTGACAACTCCCTCCCTGCCTCCCCTCCCCCTCTCCCCCCACTCCCCCTCCCTCCCTCTTTCATGGGTTCACATACCAAGCTACATAGTACTATGTGAAGACCCGCATGCTGCTGGCCAACACCATCTTGCATTCAGAATCCAACCAACCAAACCTACGACAAAAGAAGGTAAAAAAGACAGGCAACCAAACAGATGTAATCACCGGGTATTTGCATCACCTGGCACGGTCAAAACAATAACCCCATGCCTCATCCATATATGGCCCCATACGAGAATTCATTACACCCCTAGGAGCCACCGCTAGAAACCCCTCCTGCCTGAACTCTCCACCCATTCACACACACAACCAAAACAAGCCAGAAACAATACCAAAGTTGGGAGGAAAACAGAAAACAAACTGGAGAAACCCAAAAAGAACCTAAGACCCTGCAGTATTACTAGGAAAAAGAAAGAATCTTCAAGCTAAACCACCTTAAGCATGCTTAGAATGTAAGGTGATTTACAGAACCACCACTCTTGAGGCTCCGACATTCTAACAATTATACACACGGCTAAAATAGACATTAATGGAAACCCACCAGAAAATGAATCACAGTAATAGCATATATATACAAAAACCCTGATACTCGTCGTGACATGCAGACCAGTCCGAGGTCACCCACAAACAAACCCTGCCGATCTTGTCACAGTGCATTGACACCTTGTGGGATGGAGTTGAAAACTGCACCATACCCGGCCGCAAACCTTAAACCACCAATATGTTTCCCAGCATTTTGCTCTGATGCGGCCGTTAACGCGCCACGAATTTTCGGGTGGCACCAGCCAGCCAAAAAGGAACACGCACCAGTTCTGCGCTTTTTTTGGTGTGCAGGGCGTTTCCAGGCTCGGCAAGGGAAGGCTCACAAGTACGGGCAGGTGGTTTAACACTTTATCTGAGCTTGGGGCTGAAAAAAAAAAAAAAAACAGAACCTACCGAAAGTCGATGTCATTGTGGAGTGCTTCCATGAAAACAGACGCCTCTGTGTTTGCACTCAGGATTTCTTTCGTCCGTTTCACCTCCTTCTTCAGCTTGGCCATCGCCTTTGGCGAGGTTCGCACGTCCACACCGCCGCCAACCTTCTTGTTAAATTCATCAGCAAAATGCTCGACCAACCGCCCCTCCATCGTTTGGCCTCCAAGATTTGCATCCCATCGCAGCCCCTTGACCTGAATAACACACACACACACGCATCCATCCAAACACAGAAGGACGGCACGCAAGCACACCAGATATGTTAAGTTCAAACCACAGTCACCGTTATTACCAATCGAACATTGTAGATCAGATACGGAACACACAGCAGGAGGAGGGCAAAACTGCTAGTAAAACTCTTGCAATAGCAAGCAGTGCGGATGGATGGTCATCGTCTTCGAATGAGAATATGGATGCTCATTTGTATTTCAAAGACAACGGAGGAAAAGCAAGTAATATATAGCACATAAAAGCAGGAAGAAATGCAAATCAGAACACTCTTTTACGTCCTTAGGAAGCTCTGTTAAAATTGGAACGATACAGAGAAGATTGCCATGGCCCCTGCGCAAGGATGACACAGATAAATTTAGAAATAGTCCTAGTTTAAAGAAAAAAAGAAAGAAAGAAAAAGAACTCTCTGTTATCGAGTATGGATGCTGATTGCGTGCACGCAACGTGGTAGGAAAGAAGAAACTACCGTCTTCACCCGAATAAAACGCCCAGTCATTATCGCTGCATCTGGTCTGAAAGCTGTCCACAATACAGCTATAATGACCGGGGGTTCTATCCGGATGAAGACCGTAGTTTTTTTATAGTCTGTAGGTCAAATACACATCCTATCAGATATACAACTCAAAACAAAACAAGAGAAAATGCAACAAGAGTGTGTGGGTACTCATTGATTGCATCAGCAGAGAGATTAAGCGTAAACCAGGAGGAAACGCCAATTAAAAAACTAATAAGACTCGATATCGACTTTCATAGTATCAGCTATACATACATATACGGACGGCAAAGCAGGGAGGAAATGCAAACATGGATGGATGCGAGCTCACTGAATGAAAAAACAAAAAATGGAGTTACTACCACCTTCACCCGTACATAACACCCTGTCATTATATCTGCATCTAGACCAAAAATGGTCCCAAATACAGCTATAATGACCGGGCATTCTATTGGGGTGAAGCCAGTAGGAATGCTCATTGTATGCAAGAAAAAGCGAATGGATGCTCAGATACGGGGCCTTGCCCCGCTAGATGACATTCTACATGCATCTGGACTGCGGCTTAATCCAGATGCATTTGAACTGACCTAACATTTCAAACGTATCAGAACTGCAGACAGGGACAGACACATTTAGAATGATATGTAGCGGATCAAGGCTCACACCATGATCCAAGACAAAGCATAAGAGTGAAACCATCAGTCAAACCAATTCAGCACGACGAGATATAATATGATGCATGACAGAAGTTTTCTTGCCAGACAACACACACACACGCAAGGAAAGGCCCTGCTTAAGACTTAAGCCAGCAGTACAAGCCCCATCCTTTGTAATTATATGCCAGGCCATATACAAGCGGGCAACGCTTTCGATGTACAGGCGTGGTGGGGACCACTTTCATTCGTTCAACTAGCAAAACATTCTGGCTTTGCAATTCAGCTTGTTGACAACAAGACGTCTGCCGTGCTGCGGGACTTCTAACGTACAGTAGAAGCAAACAAATCATCAATATAGTAAAATGCATACTAGTCAAAGAAATCTGATCACACAGAATATGTATGTTTAACAAATATTTAATGACTACCGTCTTCACCCGAATAGAACGCCCGGTCATTATAGCTGCATTTGGCCCAACTTTCAGTCCAGATCCAGTGATGATGACCGGGCGTTCTATTCGGGTGAAGATGGTAGTATTGAATGATTGATTTCAAGTGAATAATAATTGCATAAAATATTCATTAGAAATATGGACTTTAGTATAGAAACAGATATGGACATTCACTTAATGAATTTAAATCTTAAAACCAAATTGTTATTTGTCCACCAAATATTTGGGAATGTTAGATCATTTATTAAATTGACTGTTCTTCTAAATGATTTCTTTCTTATGCTAAAACAATGATTCAAGGGAAATTGTATCTGTAGATTGAACTATATTCTGTACCCTATTCAAAGGCAGTAATTCCCTTAAACCACCAGTACTTCCGAGGCACTTTTCTCCAACCCTGGAAACGCCCTGTGCGCCAAAAAAAAGGGACCGGTGCGACCTCCATTTGGCTGGTGCCGACAGCTACTTCGCTTGGGCGGTCAAGTCCCGAAAGTCGCAGCACGTATACGACAAGGGCCCACGGCCAATGTATCGGCCAAACACTGCTGGTTTAATACCCAGTCCGAGTGCAAAACTTCGTTCTATACCCGGGGAATGGCCTGTGGACATTATGTCCAGGCCCGGCACCGAGGTGGGTCAAGTTTGCACCGCTGCATTGCAGTTATACCCAACTATCGGAGCGTTCCAATCATGGACATACCCTTGCAAATTATGTGGATACCCTTTTTTTTTTGCGTGCCCGGCTTCTGGGCATGACGATTATTTTGTGCTCCTGGACCAAGGCAATATGAGACCGGGTGCTGGGACAATTTAGCGCACGGGAAAGGTAGGGTATTACCTTAAGTTGGACAGGGTTTGGGTATACATGCAAGCTGGTCGTTGGCCCTGGGACTGGGACTGGGACTGGGACTGGGACTGGGACTGCGACTGGGATTGGGTATCAAGGGAATTCCCATCTTGAAATGGGAGTACAGATGCATTTTTCGCTACTTTGGAAACTACGAATTGCTGCTCTCCCTAACTGATAGTTCTCCAAGAAGCGCAGTTTGTAAAAGCATGTCCAATGAACTCCCTCCTCCTCCTCCTCCTCCGCCTCCTCCTCCGCCTCCTCCTCCTACTACATCATGGAGTGCCAAGGACGGGATATAGGCCCTCTGCAACGGCCATCCTGTATCCTGTAACGATGGCCTTGAACATCCATGGTGATTGAAGGGGAAGACATACGTACCTCGGATTTGATTGTTAGTCAAAACCAAAATGCAGTTGGTGTTGAGCAACCAAAAAAAGAAAAAATCAAAAGAAATAAGACGAAGGAAAAATTTGAGGCCATACTCTTCCGGCCACCTTTTTCAAAAGCCGTTTGATTGTGTCCAGCAGGAACAGAGTATGGTGACAATTGTTTAGGGCATCATTCATTCCCGGTTCTACTGTATATTCTGACCCAAAAGGACGCTTACATTCATTCCAACTTCCATTGTATCTGACCCACGAGGACGGTCAAATTCAATACAATAGCAATCAGCAGGTTTCTATACTTTCGACTGCCTGTCGTTTCTTTTCTTTCTGCGCCTGTACTGAATTTGACCGTCCTCGCGGGTCAACTACACAGATGCAAGTGTTAACACACATGCTGTGATAAAAAACGTCATGAGTTCGAAGCCTGATTGGCATCAGATGGATACAATAAGGTTAGGGACTACCAACCTTTTCGAAAAGAAAAGAAAAGAAAAGAAAGAAGAAAGAAAAGAAGTCTCAAGCCTATCGTCTTCCGCAAAGTAGAACGCATAAAGCCATTCTCGACATTGTTGTATTTTTTGCGGCATCACAAACCCATCGTACCCCTACGTTCTATTCGAGGGAATAATCTAGGGTTTTACCACAATGGTCGATCGTCAATCGAACTGTCAGTGTGATTTCTTACAGGTAGCTTTGCTAGTCCAATCAGCCTAGATTATGTCAATTCCGATATATAAACCAATCACAGGAAACCAATCACGGGGAACCAATCACGGGGAACCAATCAAGGGGAACCAATCAAGGGGAACCAATCACGGGGAACCAATCAAGGGGAAGGGAACCAATCAAGGGAGCCAACCAAGGGGAGCCAATCAAGGGGAACCAATCAAGGGGAACCAATCACGAACCAATCACGGGGAACCAATCAAGGGGAAGGGAACCAAGGGGAACCAACCACGAACCAATCACGGGGAACCAATCAAGGGGAAGGGAACCAATCAAGGGAAACCAATCAAGGGGAAGGCAACCAATCAAGGAGAACCAATAATCAAAGGGAACCAATCAAGGGGAACCAATCACGGGGAATGAAGAATATAGCTAATAAGGTGGAGAGGAGAGAGAGGATGAGCGACTCGTGACGACGTAATTAAAAGGAATCACAGGCTATGAGGCTAAATGGTACACACATGTAACTCTGTTAATACAGATCATGAGTTCGAAATCCCGCTGGAATCAGATGGATGGATGCAATCCTGTTCGGAGCTACCCCATAAACCAAAAAAAAAAAAAAAAAAAAAGAGAGATAACAGAATCTCTAAAGGTAGACAGAAACAGGAATGGTGAGGGCAAGTAAGGGATGACGGACGACGAAGATGAATACGAGAGAGTCAAGGCATGCTCACACTCGCGCTTTTTGAAATGTATCTAACTGCAATTCCGGCCAAGACTGGATGTATATGACCGCAATCACGTCCAGAGCTCAGTCGAAAAAGTCCTAGCGTGAGTAGACCCTCAATAGTACGAAAAATTGAGCTCGCTTCCTTTCACCGGCTAAGAGGCGTTAATAGGTTAGGTGTAGTAGACAAGGTGTCTCGCTGGCGCTCTGTTTTCAGAAACCGTGCCTTTAGTCTTTCACGTTCTAAAAAAGTAATCTGTTATAAGCTAACCATTTGAGAGCAATGATGGTCTTATGTATGTAATCCATAGGGAAAAAGAGAGCAATAGAAACATATATATCGTCACAAACAGAACTGCCCGGTAAACCGTAGGCAGAGAGAGAGAAGAGGACAACAAACGAGGGGCTGTGACAGACTGTTTCGTCGGAGTTTCACCGACTCATCAGGAGGCTGAACCCTCAACAGTCTGCAAAATCAATATATCGTCACACCGTGTATCGGACGGAGCGCAAAGGCGAAAAAATCAAAAGAGAAAAAGGAAAGAAGGAAGAAAAATATATACATCGTCACATAGATATCAGAGCGCAAAAGCGGAAAAAACAAACAAAGGAAACAAAAAAGTATCAATTCATTTTTCATCTTCTTCCTTACAAGACTCACCCTGTTGAGAACCTCTTTTGCGTACAAGGCCGCCCACGTGGATGTAGGTTGAGCGGCGGCTGCCCCCACCCCCGTGTGTCATATCGACCCACTTGCACACAGCCAAAAGGCAAAGACGCAAAGAAGAGAGGAAGGAAACAGCCCAAACAAAACAGAACAGGGGGCTGCAAAGCAAATCCTAAATGACAATCCTAGATGACAAGTCCCACATGCAAACACCGCCCCCGGCAACTACAGGCCAAACGACGGGACAAGACCAGCCAGGATGTCATACCAAAAAAAAGGACCTGGATGACCAGTCCAACATGAAAGCACCGCTACCAGGATCAACCAGACAACATCCCAAATAGCCGAACAACGGGACAAAACCAACCGGGACGCAGACAAGGCAAAAAAAAGCTCCGATCCACAGTGTGACAACCAAAAAAATGGAAGAGAAGACAATCCCGGATGACGATTCCCACATACAAGCACCGCCCCGCGCTCAAAAGGCCGAACAACGGGAAACAACCAACCAGGATGCCAGAAACCCGAATGACTGGTCCCACGTGAAAGCACCGCCACACCCATACAATAGCCCGAACAACGGGACCAAACCAACCGGGATACATATTTATATCGTCACAGAGTGTATCGGAGCGCAAAGGTGAAAAAAACAAAACAGAAAAAGGAAAGAAGGAAAGCTCCAGCTGTTCGTCACCTCTTACGTACAAGGCTGGCCACGTAAATATCGTCAAACAGAATATATAAAAGTATATAAAAAGACGATTACGAAGATGATGAGACGTCATCACACACACTTCATGTTCCCTTCCAGAGTACCGCATCCCGATCGAAGGGCGACAGGCAATCGACGATGGGTGATGAAAGAGGGAGGTGTACGACCGTCTTTCCCCGAGCACAACCCACCCCTTCATGACTATCCCACAGCGGAGAGAGCTTTGTATATATATATCGACACATAAATATGGAAGCGCAAAAGCGAAGAAAAGAAAAAGAAAAAAGAAAAAAAATGAATTCGTTTTTTTATCTTCTTCCGTACAACTCCCCCTGTTCAGAACCTCTTGCGTACAAGGCCGCCCACGTGGATATAGATATAGATACATAAGGACGTGCGTTGTGTTCGGGGTAAGCAGGTAGCCCAAAGCGGCTTTGTGCAACTGGCGAGTGGCGCGACAGAAGAGGGGATCGCCGACGACGAACGTTGCTTGCAAGCGGCCCGGCTGAAAATCCAGCCGATCTACCCGCTGAACGCACCTGGACATCCGTTGTTCCTGGTTCATTTCCAGCTATCGAAGAGACTAGGGCGGAAAAATGGAGGAAAAATGAGAACGAGGACTCCAGCACAGACCCAGAGCACGATAGGAGAGGCGGTGATGTCAAGACACATAACACTATACAGCGGGCGAGAGTTAGGTAAGGGGAAGGGGAGAACAGAGGGCAAGAGGAGGGAGATAGAGGGCAGGAGGGAGATAAAGGGCAAAAGGACGAGATAGAGGTGAAGAGGAGGGAGACAGAGGGCAAGAGGAGGTTGACAGAGCAAGAGGATGGAGACAGAGGGCAAGAGGAGGAATATAGAGGGCAAAAGGAGGAATATATAGGGCAAAAGGTGGGAGACGAAGGGAGATAGAGGCAAGAGAGGGAAGAGAGGGAAGAGGAGGGAGATAGAGGCAGGAGAGGGAAGAGGAGGGAGATAGAGGGCAAAAGGGGTTGATAGGGAGATAGAGAGCAAGAGGAAGATAAGAGGGCAAGAGGAGGGAGATAAAGAAGGCAAGAGGAGGGAGATAAGTCGGCAAGAGGGGGAAGATAAGAGGGCAAGAGGGGGGAGATAAGAGGGCAAGAGGGGGCAGATAAGAGGCCAAGAGGAGGGAGATAGAGGGCAAGAGGGAGATAAGAGGGCAAGAGGAGGGAGGTAAGAGGGCAAGAGGAGGGAAATAGAGGGCAAGAGGAGGGAGAGAGAGAGGGCAAAGAAGGGAGATATAGAGGGCAAAAGAAGGGAGACATAGAGGGCAAGAGAAGGGATATGGGTTGGAAACGATCATGCAGGATTACAAAAAAGCGCGAAGCGGAGACATAAAACAGTAAAACAGGGAAATGTTACAGAGTAGAAAAAAAAAAAACAAAAAAAAAACGAACGACCGACCGATAACGAACGCAAGAGGAGAGGAAGAGGGGAGGGGAGAAGTGTACGGAATCGGGAAAGGATAACGTAATCTGCGGATTACGTGAGACGAGAAAATGAGAGAGGATCGCGGACGTACGAGTCAGCAGAGTGCGTATCCAAGAAGACGCTGTTGCTGTTTCCTCCTACAACAGATCCCATACAACCACCCATAAATAGAAAGTCCACTACCCCAAAATCGTTTCTCCCAACCCAAATCTGATATGTCCAAAATGCTCATCACTTATCCCAACCAATATCGGCTGTCCAAATCGGTTCCGATCATGTCCTAAATAGGAAAATCGAACTGACCAATTTGGTTTGATGATTGTCCTATTGAATTTTTGTTTGTCCAAATCGCTTCGCCTTGGTCCCAACTTACCTGGTCAAAGGAAGTTGGGACCACGGATGCGGTCCCAAATTGAATTTTTGTTTGTCCAAATCGCTTCGCCTTGGTCCCAACTTACTGGGTCTCACGGATGCGGTACCAACCACCCCTCTTTGTACCGCATCCGTGAGACCCCTGTTATGATTTTGATTTTCTTCAGATCGCTCTTGATATTTTTGTGTCCGTCCCAAAAATGAAACTCTACCGGCGAGACGACTACAATAACGAGCGGGCGGAAGAGAGAGCAATGCTTAGCTAGGAAAAAAAAAAAAAAAAAAAAGAAGGAAAAAAAAAAAGCTTTTAAACAATATACACAGTTCCAGACCTGGTCCGCATATCCGAAGCAAAGGCAGTAGAGGCTTCGATAGAACATAATCATCAGAAGACCTGTAGGGGCTCGCTCTACTGCTCACCAAATGTGCAAAAAATGAGAATGAATCTTCCGGTAGAACATGGAAAGATACATAGCCATGTTTTTTTTCTGTCTATTGTGGACGTGGTGAGTAGGGGAGCGAGGCTTATAATGTACCAGTAGAGAGAGAAGCAGAGCGCGCGTGAGAAAAGAAAAGAGGAGAGACACGTCTGAAGAAACAGATAAGACAAGAGTGACCTTCCCACAGCTATGCCTCCCCCCCCCCCCCCCCCCCCAAAAAAATACAAAAAAAAACAGAAAAAAATCAGCAAACAGAGCTCTTCACAAAGTGCAGGATACAATAAAAAACAGAAAAAAATCAGCAAACAGAGCTCTTAACAAAGTGCAGGATCACTGCTTATGGAGATACTTAAACAGAATATTGAAAGCTGAACAGAATTTTACCGACAGCATCAGATCGTACACAAAAGGGCGCACCCGACTGCAGATTAATTAGTGCAGGATCGATGCAATTACGACGACGAGGGGGTTCTTCGAGATATCTGTTAAAATTCGGACGATACAGAGAAGATTAGTTATCGCAGCCCCTGCGCAAGAATCACACGCATAAATCGAGAGAGAGAGATGGTCCATTAAAAAAGTAAATAAAAAAAATGAAGGACGAGGACGGCGACGAGAACCGTGGCCTCGATCCGAGGCCGTACACCACGAACTGCAATGAGATAAGTGAAAACGCCTCAAGAGAATGCCTATTACAGTCGAAGAATGTTCCACAACCGGTAGTGAAAACACCCCCAAGAGACGTCTTACTCATCTCCATCCCCTTTCTTTCACTCCCCCCCCCCCTTCCACTGCGTAGAAGCATATGCGTGAACTCTCTCTCTCACTCTCTCCTCACTGCCGGATGGGGTTTACATACATACATCTATAAAGAAGATCATGAACTCACATTCTCCTCATCGTCAATAAATTAAAGTAGTTACTAAACTACTACACCTTTGGAGTGAAAGTGATCCGCCTTACGGCTTTCAGCTGCCTTGAAAAATTGTAGAATTGCTTTTGCTTCGAGCCATGTCGGACACTATAGACTGAAGTTCCCCCTCACAACGTCTCTCTCTTCTGAACTCCTATGTGTCTTCCTCTTTCTCTGAGACCCCCCCCCCGCCCCCAAATCTCCTCCTCTATTTCGTTTTCCCTTCGTTAAACATGTCAACTTATCCTGTCCAAGTTATCCGATACACAACCCAGCTCAGTCCCTCTCTCTCTCTCTCTCTCTCGCGCGCGCGCGGCGCATCGCGCAACCGAGATAAAAGAACGTCCAAAAGGGGATAGGAAAGAGGAGGAAAGGGCAGATTGCAGACTGGAGATAAGAAAGAAGAAGAACCTCGACGAGGGGAGAGGAAAGAGGAGGAAACGGTGAAAGGTGTGGAAACGGATTCACCTGACAAAGCCTCCGCAATAGTCGTCGAGGCACTAACTTGCACGAAATAAAAACCAACTAAACAGTCAACTGAGAGAGACAAGGAGATGTCAGAGGGGCCGGGGCAAAAGATGGAACCATGTACGGGGACAGAACCAAAAGAAACGGAGGAAAGAGAGCCCAAAGGTGGGAGGACAGTAGTGCACGCGACATTTGGGAGAGGGAGGAAAGGGGAGAAGGGGTTGGGGAGGGGGAGAAGGGGTTGGGGAGGGGGAGAAGGCGAGGAAAGGGTGGGGAAGAGGGGGATGGAGGGGGAGAAGGGGGGAAGGCGGAGGAAGGCGGGGGAAGGCAGTGATAAAAGGGGGGGGTAGGGTGGGGTGGAAAAAAGGGTAGTTGAGGGGGAGGGGTATAAAGGGGGGCAAGAGAAGCATTACTCGTCAAGCTATTGCATACTTACATGGAACTGGTTATAAGTCGAGTCCTTCCCCTTCTCCTTAACTGTGTAAGCGGAGTAATGAACAATTGCCGCGTGAACACTGTTGGCACCCATGTCGTAAAAGAGAACGTCGCGGGATCCGTTAGCGAAATCCTTGTCAATTCCGTACTGAAGGGCGACGGCCGCGTGCTCCCCAATCAACGCCATGATCTTGATGCCTGCCACGTGGCCCGCATCGAGGATAGCTTGGCGTTGGCTTTGCCCAAAGAACGGAGGGACGGTGACCACCACATCTTTGACCGTGGATTTCACGTGAGCCTCCCCCAAAGCCCGCGCGTAGGAGAGCACCATAGCTACCAATTCCTCGGCGCTGTAGCTGGCCTTCGCGTCATGCGTACGGATTCGAACCCTTGCACTCCCCTGTCCTTCCTCTTCCAGATTGTACGGAAGGTAACCAGCCTTGAACAATTCCTTCGCCGCCGTCACTGGTTTTCCTGCCACGTCCCGAAGTCTTGCATACACACGATCGGGATACCGTGCGATCAGACCGGCCGCCTCCTCTCCCAACAGTCTATCCCCGCTCGAGAAGGCGACGAGAGCGGGAGACTTCCTCTTCGACATCTCGTTGATGACGATGGAGATCGGACTCTGGCCCGGCTTCGGATTCACCACCGCCACTTTCAGCCATTCCGACCCGTAATCTACCCCCAATACCGCCGCTGATACCCCTCCTCCTAAACCCCCTCGCAAGCTAATTAACCCCCCCCCGGACCAAATGAGCAAGGTAAGACATATCAGCTGCAGCTGTGGCTGCCAGCTCCGTGCCTCGCGAACGCCTCCTCTTCGTAGCCACGTCATCGTGTTCCCGACGGCGATCGGGACGCGAGGAAGCCGCCGCAGGTGATCCCGGCGGCGGCCACGGGAGCACGCGCAAGCGCGCGCGTTGATCGATCTCCCCTTTTCCACCGACTAGCGCGACGAAGCCCACCGTCTGTCTCCCGACAGTCCGTGACGAAGTGACACGTGGAAGAACGTCCGTTTATGCCTCCTGATCGTGCACCCCGCCACACAGCCAATCTCCCCGACCGACAACGCGCTCGTGTATCCCGTCCCGTCAATTCCCGAGTCGCGACCAGGCCTCTCAACACTGCTGACGTGGACCGGCGCTGACGTGTCGACAACGGGGGCGAGACGCGCTCCCTCCGGCCGGGCGGCACGTGCGAAGGGCGGTGTGGTGCAGCAGCACGTGCGGCAGCGGCACAGGGACCCTGCCTCTGCTCGATCCGCCGCCTCTGTTTCCAACCGACTACCGGCGGCAGCCCACAGGGCCTTGCTGTCCTCTAACCCTGTCCTTCCACAAGGCGGTCCATGAGGGGTCGAAATGAGGGGTCACACTGAGGGGTTGACAGCACATAACAGACCTAATTTCGCTCCTAAAACTGACAGTTTTCCCTTGGAATTTCTTTTTGTTTTTGCCCAAAACCTGTCCACTTTGCAGGCGTGCCCTTGGGCGCCACGTGCGTGCAAGCTATCGATCGCTCACTTCACTGTCGAGTCATGCGGTGCTCCACGATTGGATCCTGGGCGGGCTTTTTGATCGGCAAGGTAATCCGTCAGCAGTCGCCAGCCTCCAAAACTGACGGTTTTGGGGGGGCTTTTTTTTTTTTTTTTTTTCCCTCGAACTTCAACATTCATTTCATAATCAGTTTAGAGGCAAGCGACCTCAACATTACTCCCGGGGCTAGGTCCCACTTACACAAATTAAGCAATACTAACCGTAGATAGCGAAGATCAACGGCCATCTCTTAATCCGTGCAAGTGGGACCTTGCCCCGGGTTCGAATCGGTATCTGGAAGCATCATCCAGCTTAGCTTACAGGCTGAAAGCCTGCAGTTCCTTTCACAGACCCACCAGCTCTTGGCTGCGTGCACGCCCCTAATTGGCCTATATTTGCCTACACCTATAACCACTGTTGTCGGTTGGAAAATACTCGGCTCGAAATCCTCAACATTACTATAGTACTACTACCTTTTTTTTTTCTTTTTTTTTTTTAACCATTAGTACCTTTGTCCGTTCGGCCTCGGTGTGAGGACGAAACGAAACGACGGCCGCCGATCAGATTTATCAACGGCAGCCGTTGTCGGGCTCGGCCTCCTGAAAGTTCCGGAGCTGGCAAGAACGTCTTGAAAATAGGCTCGGAGGTACTAGTTTTTTAAGCCCAGCTTGTTGTAGAGGTGGGATACTAGACCAGTGACAGTTACCCACAGTACTCGGCCACTTGGTTGTCCAGCTGAACCCCTCTGAAGACCCCACCCACCCTTCCTCTCATCATTTTTGCCCTGCTGCACCCCCACCCCCCCTGTCCTACCCTAGTGTTTACCACCCAGGACAGTCACCCATTACCATCTTGGCAGGGTGATCTGACCAGAGTGGTTGCAGGCACCCGGGCTAGCAGAGAACCTACCCCCCTGCTCAGCCCTGGTTGAAGCAGACGCCGTGCAAGCCCAATTGCACAGGGACTTCGGGAGCTAGGTGTGAACATGCTACTACAGGTCTTCATGAGGGTGCACAGTGTTACGTTGTATTACTAGAGTGTTGGATCCTCCATTCCCTTATATATCCCTGGAGCCCGTTCCGGCCCCGCGGTAAGGTGCAGTATTGACACCCCCGACATCCCATACTAAGGAACTGTTATCCCAGCCTCAACCCTATACCTACATGCTAGGAGGATAGCCAACCCTGAGTCGTGTGTGTATCACAGTGTTCTGTTGTGTTGATGGTAAAGAGAGTTGGGGATCCTCCGTTCCCTCGCATATCCCTGGAGCCCGTTCCGGCCCCGCGGTAAGGTGCAGTATCTCCTGACACCCCCGACATCCCGTATTGAAGGAACTGCTATGCCAGCCTTAACCCTAACCTACGTACTAGGAGGATAGCCAACCCTAAGTCGTGAGTCATGGACTGTATCATGGACTGTATGTATTGATCATGGATTGTATGTATTGATCATAGACTGTATATATTGACCTTGGAGAATCATTGATAGAGAGAGTTGGGGATCCTCCGTTCCCTCGTATATCCCTGGAGCCCGTTCTGGCCCTGCGGTAAGGTGCAGTATCTCCTGCGTACTAAGGAACTGCTATGCCAACCTCAACCCTAAGCTACATACTAAGAGGATAACCAACCTTAAGTCATGAATCATGAATTGTATCTATTGACCCTCGAGAATCTATTAACCCTGTGTTGTATGATAAACTATCAGAGCTACAATCCCCCGTTCCCTCGTATGTCCCTGCAGCCTGTTCCGACCCCGCGGTAAAGTGTAGTATACACCCTCGACATCCCGTACTAAGGAACTGCTATGCCAGCCTCAACCCTTGACTACGTACTAGGAGGATGACCAGCCCTAAGTTATAATCTGGTATCGGACACAGGACCTAATGTGAATCGTGCAAATGACCTAACCTGTTGACATATATTATGAAGTAGTCTGTAGTTGTGCTCTGTTTGGCTCGAGTAAACCAGACTGTACAACCCACCCAGCAGTCGCATGGCCACCCATAGACCAAGAACATCAAGATACCCTACCATCGTCCAGTCCCAACATACAACAACCATGAGCTACTCATTGGGTGGTGTGCCGGCCGTGAAAAAAATTCCCAGAATTAAATAATCATTCTATAGTAAAATTACAATCTAAATATCAAATTTTCATTCCATCTTAAAAAATGTCATTCCAATTTTAAATTTTTTCATCTTAGTTGCAAACTTTCATTCCAAGAATAGGGTATCCCTTCTTATTTGGATTGCATGCTAGAGGTGGAATGAAAGTTTGAATGAGTTCATGAAATATTTTAATTGGACTGTCATTCTAAGTAAAGATTTTCAATCATAAAAAGGTTAATCCAATCTAAATTAGAAGGTATTTGTTGTACTAGAATGAAAATTTAATTAAAATATTTCATAAACTCGTCCAGACTTTCGTTCCATCTTGAACAAATAGATGTAGTTGGAAGAGAAAGCTCATATTTAGACGGGAACTTATCAAATAAAACTGAAAATTTTAGAATTTGACGAACATTGGAATGATAATTTATAAATATGAAGGATTTTTTTTTTATAGAATGTTTTTTCAACTTTCATTTCTCGTGGGAATTTTTCCAACCTGCATCATCCCAAGGGGGTGTGTGTCCAATCGTGCGTCATTCTAACGCCCTGCCGGTGTCCATGCACAAGGCTGCGGATTTCAACCCGCAACCTTATACCACAATGTGCATTTTCAACCGGTGCTCTAACCACTGAGCTACATCAGTAGGAGTCCAAGTTCCGCTGCTGAAAATTTGCCAAAATCCTATAGTAGAGAGAAAATAAAACAACCATCTACCAAAATCATTTTTTTTTTTTTTTTTTTTTTTTTTCCCCCAGGTTGTTGCGGAGGTGGGTTACTAGACAAATGACAATCACTCACAGTTATCGGCTCTTCGGTTGTCCAGATGAAACCCTCTGAAGACCCCACCCACCCCTTCCTCTCATCTTTTGCCCTGGTGTACTCCCACCCCTCTGTCCTACCCTAGTGTTAACCACGTGGGACTATTACCCATCACTATCTTGGAGGGGTGACCTGACCGGACAGCAGTTGTAAGCACCTGGGCTAAGCAAAGATCCCTACCCCCTGCTTTGCCCCGGTTGAAGCAGACGTCGTGCAAGCCTGTTGCACCGGGCCTTCGGGGCCTAGGTATGAACATGCTACTACAGGTCTTCATGAGGGTAGACATCGACTCTCATCTAGCACAGTACCTTTGCCATATATCGAACATGGACCCTTCGCGCTGAGTTCTCAGGCCGCAGCTGACCGGAAAGCCCGTCCAGGTGAGGCCGCGATGTTAAACCACCAGTACCAACGTGACATATGCTAGGGACCCATGTTCTAGTTGTTTCTTATGATGGGTCGGTTGGCCCCTTTGTTCGGTCAGATGGGTATTGTATGGACTGTTTTCGGTTATTTGTCTTCGAGTGGTACTTTTTAAGGTGTTTTCTGGGTTATCTTTTCAGGTTGACAGACTGGTGTGGATATCAAACCCAACTTAAGGGTTACACTGTATACTTTTTCCTGTAGACATTTGTCCAGTAGGTATATAGGTGACCTTAAACCACTTGAGTCTTTGAGCCAGCAAAGACTCCTAAACAGGCTTAGTGGCGACCAACCGAATCGGTACCATAGAGTCACGTGGAATATTGCGGCGGCAGTGTCGAGGGTAGTGCTTGTTGTTCATTTCACGATGCGCACTCGTTTGCCCTCGAAAGTAATTGAGCATTTTTTGAACTCGAGTATGGTCTTTGGTCCTGGTATTTTCTTCTTCTTCTCGTTCTTCTTCTTCCTCCTCTTTTTCCTTCTCGTTCGTTGTGTGTCTTTGTCAATGACATTTATAATGAATGCATATTCAATTATCCACCAGTACCCTCCGCTCGCCCTCTCGTGACCGGTTACCCGAGCCCTAACCAAACTTGCAAGTACTGGTAGTTCCCACCAACAAAACGAAAAAAAAAACAAGGAAATTTTTTTCAAAAAGGGAAAAAGTTAAAAAAAACACAATAACAATCGATTCACTTGTTTAAAAAAAAATAAAAATAAATGAAAGTCAATGTTTTTTTTTTTTTTTTTTTTTTTTTTTTTTTTTTTTTTTTTTTTTTTTTTTTT